TACAATTGGTACCGAACGCTCCTTGGTGTGGGTCTTTGTGACAAGCATTACAGTTTTTAAAAGGTACACCAGCAAATTTCTGGAACTTCTCCCCATTTTTAAACTCTGTTTTATGACATTGGTTGCAATCTACCTTAGTATGTGCGCCATTCAGTGGGAAGTCAGTTTTCGCATGATTAAATAAAGTGGCAGGTTTAAAATTGTCATAATTATGGCACTTTGCACAATCATTATCCATTGTTTTTTGATGATAATCATCGTGACAAGAAAGACACTTAGGATCAAGACCTAAAAATGTACTTTTATTTTGTTTGATTTTGAAATCTGAAATATGGTCTTCAAAATGACATTTGGCACAATTGTCCACTTTTTTATGTGCGCCTTTGAGTTCATATCCCGTCAAGGTATGATTAAACTTTTTTTCGTCAAATCTTATTAAATCAAATTTTAAACCATGGTGCTCGCTATGGCATGAGATACACTCTTTCCCTTTTATTTCTCTAGATACGTGATAACCTTTATTCTGGGTAATTCTTGTTTTTAATTCTTTATGACAATTCAGACATTTCTGCTCCGAAATCTTTGCACCTAGGTCATGACAAGCCGTACAATTGCTGATACCTTCTAAGGATGAATGTTCTTTTGAAAGTTTGCCTGGACTGATTTGTGTTTGCACTTGGGTCACATAAAAGCAAAAACCAATCATCAAGATGATTTTAGGTAAGTGGCAATATGTAACAAATTTAAACATCCTATTTTTTATGTGACAACATGGTATAATTAAACCTTTTTGATATCTGCACACCTGATTTCTCTAAAAACTGAGTAGGCAGTTCACCTCCTGCAAATATATACACTAGATCATTGTCCAGACTTAGCTCACTTTTATCTTTAATGTAGAGATGCACTTTTGTTTGGGTTATTTCCTTTACATTAGACTCAAATAAAACCAACACTTTGCCTGAAAGCATGGCTTTTTCTATATTCTCAGCATTTTTTGGTTTCAGTCTGCTGAACTTATCACTTCTATATGAAAGGGTGACTTTATTATCATCAGCTAATAATAACGCGCTTTCTATAGCGGAGTCTCCACCACCAACCACGAGTATGTTTTTGTTTTCAATCAATTCTGGCTCAAGAAGTTTGTACGCTACTTTTTCCATACCTTCTCCTGCGACACCTAGTTTTCTAGGTGTACCTCTCCTACCAATGGCAAGCAATACCTTATTGGTTGTATATTTGCGACCATTTATTGTGGTCAATTCGAATCCACCATTTGTTTTTCCGATCAATTCTACTTTGGAATGTTCTATGATTTGAATATCATTTTTAGAAATAACCTCATTCCATAAGGTAAGTAATTCGTCTTTGCTCGTCTGAAATAACTTCACCTTACCATGACATGGCAAATCCATGGGTGAGGTCATAACAATTTTTGCTCTAGGAAAATTATATACCGTCCCACCTAATGTATCTTGTTCTAGCACCAAGGCCTTCATACCATTCTTTTTAGCCTGTAGGGAAGCTGAAATTCCTGCAGGACCAGCACCAATAATAATTAGATCGTATGATAAACCATGGTTTTTATCCAATATTGTAAAAATATTTTCAGCTGCTTGTTTACCTTGTTCCACACTATTTTTGATCAGTCCCATTCCACCTAATTCGCCCGCTATAAAAATGCCTTGGACATTGGTTTCGAAATTCTGATTTACATGTGGAAGGTCTACCCCTCTTTTTTCTGTTCCAATTTTGAGTGAAATAGCTTCTACAGGGCAAGCATGAAAACAAGCACCATGACCGATACACCTTGATGCATTGACCAAGGTTGCCCTACCATTCCTGATACCTATGATATCTTTTTCGGGACACGCGGTGATACAAGCGCCGCTCTTGATGCAGTTATCTTCATCTATATAAGGATAAAGAGATACAGGTTCATGAATGCCTTCTTCTTTTGCTTTTTCTATTTTTTCACCCACCACATCAGACTCCTTTTTCAGTTTTCTCAAATAGATATAAACTATGCCGAAACATAAAAGACCTACGATGCTATAAATGATGAACTCTTCCATATCAAAATATCCAAGTATAACCAAATGCTAATGTTACGCCCACATGTACGATCATGATTATCAACATGATAAGCGCAAAAGGTAGATGTGCAATGTGCCAATATCTAAAAAGCTTCTGCATAGTTACCAAACGTTGGATTTTACGCGTCAAGCCCATTTCTGTACCTACCATTTTCATGATGCCTTTGATGTCCTTTGGGTCCAATTGCTGGGTATGCAATAAAGATTCAATGTTTTTTTTCCTTTTATATTCGTCTACATATTGCTTAAAAAAACCTTGAAAACCATGGTATTGACTTGTATCTTCCGTAGCAGAATGTTGAATGAGCGCTTTGATGTTTAAAGTAGCTGCCCCTGAAATATTTTGCAAAGATGCACCTATGTCGGATTTCATATCTTGTATTTCATTCAAACTTAGTTCTCTACCTTGGATCGTACGTGGGATTTGTAAATAGATAAATCTACCTATGACACCACTTGCCACTACAGCTACCATACTCCAGAAACTAATGGATACAATACCACCGAACTTGAATGCAGTATGAAATAGAATCATGATTGGCCCAAGCGTACATAAAAATATGTGGAACTCCAACCAATGTTTTAAGGCTCCGATTCGACCAAGGCTTTTAAATCTTTTTCTTGCCATGTAGCCAAATACACCTATAATGATGAGTAACGTACCTATGATACCAAGACCATGTCCGTAAATACCATTTGGCTTTAAATGCTTGTGATCAGGGTGGTAAAATCGTTCTTCCATTTCAGTGATGTAGTAGTCTGATCCATTATAAAATAAATACATGGTAGCCAAGATGACTATCAAGGTAAGCGTCGAAAGATAAATCTTATGGACGATAGGGGTCATATTTTTACACTATTTTGACACAAGGTAGAAAATCTTAATATAATATTAGCTTAAAATCTCCTGAATCGGGAAAATAAAGGACTGAATCGGGAACAAAAAGATTTAAATTTACAGAAAAATATGATTTTGAAATGGTATTAGTTGAATCAAACTAGAAAATACATTGACACAAATATTATTAATTTATTATTCTATAATGATTTGACAATTAAATAATAAATCCCCATCTTCTATGGTCAAGGCGATTTTGGTGAATATTATATTTTCTATGTTTTGGAAAAAGAGTTTCATTTTACTTTTTGAACACGTTCGGGTTGGACAAAACAACTTCAAACAAACTACAATTATGTTATGCCCCTTTTATATCAATGCTTACAATAAAATTTCAAGGATTGTGAAAGAAAAACTACCTTGTTGCGTATATACATTAAATAGATGTACAACTGTAAATAAATGTCCCACTTCAAAACTGAACACTGTAATGGTTTAGCTGATCGAGAGATAATCCGATTGTCATTGGACGATATGGAGTATTTTGCCTGTTTGGTGGTGAAATACGAAATTAGATTACTCGGCTACATCAAAAAAATATCTCAAAGCAATCATGATGAAGCGGAAGATATCTTGCAGGAAGCATTCATTAAAATTTGGAAAAACCTTCACGGCTATGATCCTAGGTTGACATTAGAAAGTTGGATTTTCAGGATCGTACATAATGAAACCATCAGCTTTTGGCGCAAAAAAACATCTTACTCCAAGGATAAGGTCGTAAGTGTAGATGACGACCGAATTAAAACCTTACTTGCTGCCGATGAAATAAATAATGAAGATATCGACAAGGTAACCAAACTTATAGAAGATATCCTTCCTTTGCTAAAACTAGAATATCGGGAAGTCCTTGTCCTGAAATTTCTGGAAGACAAAAGTTACGAAGAAATTTCTGACATCTTAAAGATACCCGAAGGCACCGTAGCTACTAGAATCAATAGGGCTAAAAAGTCATTTAGAGAACTAGCATCCGGTAAATTTGATAATTCCATATTTAAATAATACGAATATGAACAATGCACAAAAAATAATCGATAAAATAAAAAATGATGACATCCAGCCCCATCCAAAGTGGTCTTTCACCTATAAAGAATGGGGAAAATGGGCAAGTTATATTTTATTTGTAGTTATGGGAAGCATATCGTTTTCCATCATACTTTTTGCCATATCTGTCAATGGTTTTGATATGTTACAACATTTCAAACACTCCAAACTAGAATCTATTTTAGTGCTTCTACCCATTTTGTGGTTGGCTACCTTAATTTTATTTCTTGGTGGATCCATAGTAAGCGTGATGCAAACAGGCAGGGCATATAAATATTCTTTTGGCAAATGGATGCGACTGAGTACGGGCATCAGCATGGCTATAGGAACGATGTTTTTTATGACAGGTGGTGCACGTTGGTTGGAACATAAATTTGAAACAAACATTGAATCGTATGAAAGTTTGTTAGAGAAAAAAACCGCCATCTGGAGTCAACCTTCCTTAGGTACACTTTCAGGAGAGATAATGGAGATCAATGAAGACACGATCATAATGAAAGATTGGAAAAATGAACTTTGGACCATTCAAACTACAGAAGCTTTTGTAGCACCTGTCCTTGATATGCAAGTCGGTACTCAGATAAAGCTAAATGGAAAATTGATTGGAGAAATGAGTTTTAAAGCAGAAAAAATCAGGCCTTGGGGCGGCGCTCCAGGGAAGTGTGCACAGTGATATGAAAATCTGGTGATCTGTGATTTTGTGATCATGCAATAAATTCTTTGTTTCTTAATGACTTTGTGGCAATATTTCAAACAATTCAAAATTTGTTAGATAAAAGTGAAAGAAAATGAAAAGGCTTGCGTATTCCTTTTGAAACACATTTGATTATTCACTTTTAAACAAAATATAATGAGATCGTTCACAATGATTTTTGGTATTATCACCGTATTGGTAATGTCCGCTTTTATTCCGAATAACGCTCTAATTCCAACCAATGACACTTTGAATGAAAATGATAAAGCAGGATTGGTAAAAATGAGAGAAGAAGAAAAATTAGCTTTTGAAGTTTATACCTTCCTTGATGAAAAATGGGATCATCAGGTATTCAAAAACATTAAACAAAGTGAAGCTAGACATGGAGATTTGCTCAAAGGCGTGCTCGATCATTTCGGCATCAAAGATCCGTATATTGCTACTAATGGCCAATATGCCAATGCAGACATGCAGAAACTTTATCAGGAATTGACCACCAAAGGTAGCCTATCACTTAAAGATGCTTTTACAGTAGGTGCCATCATAGAAGACATGGATATTGCAGATTTGGATATGCTAATGGCCGCCACCACAAACAAAGATTTACTCGGCGTCTATGACAATCTTAACTGTGGCTCACGTAATCATATGAGAGCTTTCAGTAGACAATTGGGCAATATGGATGTGGTTTATACACCGACTTACATCAATAAAGATAGATATATGGCCATCATCAACGGCGACCATGAAGAAGGAAGTAATTGCCAATCTAATAACTCAAATTGTAAATCAATAGGCAACAAATCTTGTGGTAGCAACAGCGGGAAAGCATGTGCAGGCAGTGGAAATAGTAAGTCTTGTGGCGATAATAAAGGTAATTGCAAAAGTGGAAAAGGTAACAAAATAGGTTGCTGTAGTAAATAATCTCAAACGGTTAAATAAAGGACCCCAACGGGTTTAAGTAGATGGTTCCAAGGGGTTTAAACCCCTTGAATACTAGAATAATTATAATTCACATTTTATAAAATTATTTATAATGAAAAAGTTAATATTCATCGTTTTCGTTGCCATGTTTGTACTCGCATCTTGTAATAAAGATAATAGCATCGAAAGTCTTTTGACCGAACAAGAAAAATCAGACCTTATCTTCTTACGTCAAGAAGAAAAACTTGCCCACGATGTGTATGTTTATGCTTATCAAAAGTATGGACACTTCGTATTCAATAATATTTCTAACAGCGAACAAACCCACATCGACAATATGACTGGTTTGCTAATTAAATATAATGTAGTAGATCCTGCAGCAGGTTTAGCAAATGGTGTTTTTGCGGACAATGATTTGCAAGCACTTTATAACCAACTCATTACAAAAGTAGATATTTCATTGATAGACGCCTTGGAAGTGGGTGCAACCATTGAAGATTTGGACATCAGCGATATCCAAAGATTTTATGCCAACACGACCAAATCAGATATCCTTCGCGTTTACGATGTACTTACTTGTGGATCTAGAAATCACTTAAGAGGATTCACTGGTCAACTCAAACCTTTAGATGTCACCTATAGTCCTCAGTTCTTATCAGCAAGTGACTATCAAAACATCATCAATGGCAGCCACGAAAACTGTGGAAAATAAGTCACATATCTTATATAATTAAACCGTACCTTGGCCATGCTTCGGTACGGTTTTACACATTATTGTCCTTTCAAAATTAACTTTATGTCTCGATTTATTTTTCCGATATTTTTGGTTTTAGTTATGGTTTTGACTATCAAAGCACAGGACACACCTTTTGACATCCAACTCACGCCTATCCAAGTGGAAGGAGTAGGTGGATTGCAAGCTTTTGCTTTTGGACAGCATGAAGGTAAGTGGCTTATCGTTGGCGGACGATTGGATGGTTTGCATCGGAGACAACCCTTTGCCAGTTTTGATATCGCTGGCCACAATACCCAATTGATCGTGGTAGATCCAAGTGAAAATCAAAGTTGGACAGCATCGCTCAATGTCTTACCTGCAAGTATCAAAGAGCAACTTAGTGCTACCAACATGGAGTTTTACCAAGAAGGCGATATTTTGTATCTTATCGGTGGGTATGGATATAGTGCAACAGCAGGAGATCACATTACTTATCCTAATCTCACAGCTATTAATATCCCACAGACCATCCAAGCTATCCAAGATGATCTTTCCATCCTTCCATTTATACGACAAATAAAAGATGACAAGCTGGCTGTCACAGGTGGATATTTGCAAAAAATATATGATACGTATTTTCTAGTAAGTGGTCAAAAATTTATAGGAAGATATAATCCCATGGGTCCAAATAATGGACCAGGATTCATACAAGAATATACCAATGCCATCAGAAAATTTACTTTGGAAGATGATGGGATGACAATCAATATTATACATCAAACAGAAATATACGACAGAGCACAATTGCACAGAAGAGATTACAATGTAGCACCACAAATCATGCCTAATGGTAGGGAAGGATTGACTGCTTTTTCGGGTGTATTTCAGGAAAATGTAGATTTGCCGTTTTTGACTTGTGTTAATATAGACAATGATGGATACGCTGTCCAAGCCGGATTCAATCAATATTACAATCATTATCATTGTGCCCATATTCCTTTATACAGTGCAAAAGATAATGAAATGCACACGCTATTTTTTGGTGGTATTGCCCAATATTATGATGACAATGGTCTGCTTGTAAGAGATGATAACGTTCCTTTTGTCAATACCATAGCACGCGTAACTCGTCAAAGTGTTGGCAGTATGGCTGAATATAAATTGCCGATCACCATGCCAGCATTATTGGGTGCTGGTTCAGAATTTATACCTAATCAAGATATATCTACCTATGAAAATGGCGTCCTAAAACTAGACGAAATCGACCAAGATACGACCATGATAGGATACATTTATGGTGGCATCAGCAGTTCAGCCCCCAATATATTTTTCACAAATACTGGTACGCAAAGTCAAGCAAATAGTCAGATATTTAAAGTATTTCTCATCAAGAGCAGTCCTACTTCTGTACATGATGTCAATGTACAAAGTAAAAATGGATTGGGCATGGTCATATATCCAAATCCAAGTGATGAAAATATCAATGTAAACTTTGATCTACCTGCTGCATCAGTTGTTACATTAACAATAATGGATGTGGATGGAAAAGTCTTAAAGGAGTACGATTGGGGAAATCTTTCATCTGGTGCACATCATTATACTACATCTGAAGTGTTTGATAATCATAAAGTTTTGATATTCCGATTACATAGTGGTGATAAAGTGAGCATTCAGAAAGTAGTAGTGCGATAAAAATTTTAGATACTCTAATAGCCAGTGTTTTCAGACAATAGTTTAATTTATTCCTCAACTAACTTAACTCTTGTATGTGTAGCTATAGCTGTTTTAGGAGATCTTGGGATTTGCTGTGTCAACTCTAAACTACCTACCTATCCATCCATATTTTAAATACTTTGGACTTTTCTTCACTGAGTGCAACAACTTTATCTTGATTTGATTTCAATCTGACCATATATTTAGAAGATTTATATTTTACAATGGATTGAATGGCATCAAAATGAAAGATCACTTGCCTATTTGCCCTAAAAAAGATCATTGGGTCCAACATATTTTCTAGTTCGACTAATGGAATGATGGAAGGTATTCTTTTGCCACAAATCAGATGGACGTACGTCATTTTATTTGAACTTTCGATATATTCTATCTCATCTATTTTGATGTTAATAATTTGTTTACCCATCGAAACCTGAAATTGAGATTTATAATGGGATGTTTTAGGTTCTTCCGCCAATGTTATCATTTTTTTAGCTTTTTCGATAGATTCTATTAAATGATCCTTTTGAATAGGTTTAAGCAAAAAATCTGTAACGTTTTTCCTGAATGCTTTGACCGCAAAATCTTTCTGATGGGTAGTGATGATAACATTATTACACAGTTTAGAGACATCTATTTGGTCAAAAACATTGGCACCATCAAATAAAATATCCATAAAAACGACATCAACTTTAGCTGAATTTCCTTTACAAAATTCATGGAATGATGCTAAGTTATTAAATTGATGACTTACATGAATCCCTTGCTGACCTTCATTCAAAAGACCACTCAATTTACAAGCATCCGCCTCATTATTATCCAAAATAATTGCTGTCATTTTATCATCTGATCTTTCATTAACAAATATCATATAGACATCAAAAACCCTTAAATTGGATATGGAAAGTAACTATCCCTGCGGACAAACCATCACTTCTATCATACAAGGCGCCTCTTAATTCTAACTGACTGATAGAAAATAGATTAGCTATCGATTTGAATGGCGTATATCTGATGCCTATACCATAAAACTGGCTATCAAAGCCTGATAAATCATAGTCACTGCTAAAAAATTCTGCACCTACTAAATTTTCTTGGAATGGTGCAAAATGATCGATTGCTGTCTGATGATAATATCTATAAAATGGTGAAATAGAATAAGCAGATGATACTTTAACAGGCAACTCTATATGTGCTGTGTGAGATGTCATGCCCCAATCATCTTGGTAATATCTGTAAAACGATCTGATAATCAATCGTTCGCCTATAAAATAATTTGCCCTGATTCCGATAGGTACTTTAAACCTTGATCCTGGCAAAGTTTCTCTCAATAAGCTACCATCATTCATATATACTCGATGAAAAGGCGTACTAAGCAAACCAGATTGATAAGCTAAATCTAAAGTCAGTGCCAGTTGAAATCGTTTAGAAATCACCTGTGAAAGTGTCATGGACAAATCATAAGTATTTCTAACTGCGTTGCCTATTTCTCCTTTTTTTTGTTGTCTAGAAGGTAAGTTAGCTCTAAATTCTGTTGGGACGATTTGGCTGTAGGTATCTAAAAAGACATTGATCTTGGCACCGAACTCTGTATTTTGGCTTTTGGACTTTTTACTGAAGTTAAATCCTCCACCTATCGATGTGTAATCATACTCTTTAGAAAAAGCAACATTTCCACCTAAAGCAAGTCCCGTTTTTTCATTTTCAACACTATAATTTAAGGAAGGATACACTCTGACATCAGATGACGAAGCCGAAGAAACTTTTGTATCTATTTTATCTGAAGAAGCTGACGTATAATAATCTACTCCAAACTCGGCACCATAAGTATATTTTTTGCCACGACCATCATATCTATTGAGTTTCAGGTCGATGACATTGGCAAAATCAGATAACTTTTCTGTCCCTACACCACCTGTGATGGCAGAATGATTGCCTTCTTGATGGTAATAGGATGACATGATATTGGCTTCTTCAAATGATAAAGCTTTCTTCTTGTATAGCATTGTTGAGTCCATGATAAAACTCTGAGCATATATCTGAACCAAGGAAAAAAGTAGGCCCAGTAAACTTAAATTTGTTTTTAACATTTTCTTGTTTCGTTATATTTAATTGCAGCCACAGCCACCACCACTTTTGCCACCAGTTGCCCCTGCAGATCCTTCTCTGTACAACTGAAAATTGATTTCTAATTTCTCTAACTTGCGAAGTGTCAATAACATTTCACCATCGCTGAGATATGCTTTTTCTGAAGGTTTTACGGTACTGCATGAAGTTAACCATAGTAAGCTTACCAAAAGAAATCCCAATCCAATATTTCGTGGTCTATTTTGTATGAACATCTATCTGAGTTTTATATTTTTTGAATAATACATTTTATCATTTTCATCTATCAAAATGGCTTCAATGCCTACCATTTGATTGACCATATGGAGACCAGCTTCACGTCCCATAACGATGATCGGCGTGGTAAGTGCATCTGCCAATTCAGCGTTTCCACATATAATGGTCACTGACTTCAAACCTTGTGCTGGCATACCAGTCTGCGGATCAATAGTATGAGAATACCTCTTACCATCGATGACCACAAATTTTTCATAATCGCCACTTGTAGCCACAGACTTGTTACTGATCTCAAACTGACTGAAAAGATGTTGTTTGTGATTTGGATCTGCGATACCGATTGTCCAAGGTCGACCGTTTATCTGATGTCCCCATGCAGTCAAATCTCCTGCTGCATTAACCACACCACTTTCCACACCCATAGATATCATGACTCTTTTCGCCATTTCTGCTGCATAACCTTTACCAATACCACCAAAACCAATCCTCATACCTCGTTGCTTTAGAAAAACAGTTTTGTCTTCGGAATTAAGTACTAGATTGCGATAATCAACCAATTTCACAGCTTTTTTAGCCAACTTTGGGTCAGGCAGCTTTGTCATCTTGATATCAAAATTCCAATATTTCTTATCGACAGATCCGTAAGTAATATCAAAAGCACCTTGGGTCAACACAGATATGCGTTGACACCTGACCAAGAGCTGAAATACTTCATCAGGCACTTGAATAGGAGTTATACCTGCATTTTTATTGATCAAAGCTGTGATGCTATTTTCAGAAAAAGTAGTTAACAACTGCTCAATTCTTTTGACTTCTAGAATCGCTTTTTGTACGGCCAGTTGACAAATATCCAAAGACTCATGGACAGCCGTAAATTCAAACTGATTGCCCATGAGTTTCAAGGACTCAGAGTGCGAGATATCTGGTCGTAACATTTG